TTTGTCTAAACTCACGCATATAGATTTCTAAATCAATTCAATAGTCTGGGCTAAAGTTTCGAGGACTTCCCCAAAGATCTTTAGATCTAGCTTTTCTGAGATCAATAGAACTTCATTGATGTTTTCACATTTTTGTTAGTACGAAACGTCAAGACATTAAAAATGTTGTGATCTTAGACTTACTAAAATGAAGTAAGTGTTCAACTTCAACATTTAATGGATTTTATAGTAAAGCTGTTTCTTTAAAACTGATTGTCATGTCTTAAAAACGTTTGCGTTAAAAACATATTTTTAACACATTTCATAAATAGCATTCTTATTATAAACCTGGAAATTATCCGCCAAAGTTATGGAAACCCCTGGAAAACTCAGGGAACTTTATTGAACTAAATGAGTGGACACCCTGTAGATAGAGAAGAACGATTAAACGTAAAAATAACTCCATACAAGGTCGTCAACTTCGCATTGCTCAAAAAATAGAACAGAATGTAGGCATATTCAGAAGAATGATCAATCTTGAAATAAATTCACGTTTAACAAAGTTTAAAATTGTGACTTATTACAAGAAAAAGTGACTTTAGTGACTTGGCCTTAAAAAAAGATACTTTTGAGTGACTGGCTTGAAAAAAGTGACACAGTCACTAAAAAGCGACTCGCTAGCAGCCCTGATATGGGCATCATGAGTAGAATTTCCAGGAATTTCAGGGAGCCTTCTGAAGGAATTCGGAGGAGAATGCAAAGATAATTACAACTACGACAAATACGATAATCGGGTTTAGCCCGTAATCTAGGGTGTTCAGCCCACTTCAGCTAACTTTAGTTTAATAAAAAAGTTGTAAACGCTTTAAAGAATTACGGATCCGCAAAGCTACCGAAATTGAGCCTTGATCATTTAATGAACTATAACACAAACTTCATGATTATGTGAATACAATGTTGACACTAAGTACCCCTAATGATACCCGGCTACTGAAAATCTCTTGAAATGTCAATCAATAAAAAAAAGCAAATTTTTAAAAATTTCAGCGCATTTATATGTAACACGAGCTGGCGCTTTTAGATTGCATTTTATATGCGTAGCTTATGCATTATTTTTACTAGCTTGAAAAAAAGTCCACATTTTCCACGGGTCAACGCCCAGATTCGTCCAACACAACAAACATTTTATCTTCCTCCATCCAATAAGCATCGTCCATCAGAACGGGATCCACTTCCAGTGGTTTCATTGTATGGCAGTATCGCCATCGGAGAGCAGAGCGCTTCCATTGCAGCAATGGACGCAAAACGTGATCAGCACTAAACGGTTGCTTTTCTAAGTCGACGACCCATCGACCGAAAGAACTGCTGATGAAGAACAATGAGGAAGACCACACAATGGTTGCTGCCGAGTAAACAGACGATCGCGTGACACACATCAAGAGTTGCCTGCTTCTGTCGACAGTCGAGTGTTTACTGAGAGAGAGAAGGATTAGTAATTTCCATTTAATTCCACTACCTTATTTGCTTATCCTTGACAGATACGCGTATTTCGTCTACAATGTGCAGACTTCTTCAGTGTCTTGTACTAATACTCGACTGTCGAGTAGTCGAGTATTAGTACAAGACACTGAAGAAGTCTGCACATTGTAGACTAAATACGCGTATCTGTCAAGGATAAGCAAATAAGGTAGTGGAATTAAATGGAAATTACTAATCCTTCTTTCTCTCATTATGCAGGTATTCCACTAAGGCGCCCACATTCATCAGGAGTCGAGTGTTGTTTATGGTGAAAATAAGTGTATTCTAGGTACCTCGTTAGCCATAACTAGTTTCACATATGTTCTTTGATATCAAAGACGGATATAAACCTATAAATATAAGCGGTTGGGGTAAACTTGGAATTCAATGGCAAGGTTGGTAAAATAATGTTTGATGATTATTTGGTAGCGTACCCGAGCAAAGTCGGTTAACAAAATGAAAGCAAATCGATATTAAAGTGTGCAGTTCCTGTCATAATGAAAACTCATTTTGATTTCAAATGTTGCGACATAAGTCTGATATCATATTGTGCTTTCATTATGCAGTCAAGACGTTTTAAATGAAAGCAACTTAACTTGAAGTTCTGCTGTTTACGTCTTGTTTAAAATTTAATTGAAATTCATCTGTCGTTGAACTAATGATTATCGTTTATCTGATTTGTTTAACACATTTTAGGTCATTCGTGACTTGCCCGCGGTAAAATTGAAGCCTAAGTCTTTCAGCTTGAGAAACATGAATGGGAACCATTTACTCTAGGCCCGTATTCAGTTAAACATTATGAATGCAAAATCAGTAATCAAATTGATTTCATTGAAAGCAGGATTAGTTTTCCGTTTGCTTCAACAGTGTAAAATTTTGCTCTCATTTTTGCTGTGTTAACCGTTAAGTCAACCAAAATGAGATCAACTGGAGTATTCAAAATAAGTTACATCATAACAGCAAATTTTGATTTCAATTTGATCTTCAGCTTTGCTCGGGTAGGGCCTCAACTTAAACAAAATAACAAATACAGAATTGTTCAGCTTTATTTTCATAGAAATTGTTTATTACTCGTAAATATAGTTACAACTTGTTTGTTATGTACGAATGATTCACGTACGAAATACAAAACAATTCTTGCAATTTCAAAAAATTGTCTCCTGCCTCATCGATCAGCATATTTCGTAATTGAACAATTTAATCCAATTCTTATCATCATTCGTTGCGAATTTATTGCTGAACCTCTACACTTTTGAAATAGAATAGTGGTTTAACAGTTTTTGCAAATACAAATTCTTAAGTGCGGCTTTGTAAAAATAACATCAGAACGCATGCTGGGGATACAATGACATATTTTGTTTATGAAGAGTTTTTTGAGTGTGTTGATTTATTTTCTTTTAATTCCGTTATAATTGGTAACCTTTTTACAGATACGGATATTTCGTCTATTACTTGCAGATTTCACCAGTACCAAGTACTCAACACTGTTTTGCTTATTTTTGCATCAATTGGAAATTAAAGAAAATCACTGAATAAGCAATAAGCGCTGCAAGAACAGAACAGTGATATTTTACGATTTCCCGACGAATCAAGTACCTACCCGTTCTAGTGAAAACCGAAAATTTTAGGCTATCTCATCGGCCATGTATGCCATGACCCAGACCATATGAAAAGTTCATTCGGTCTCAGCAAAGCTCAGTTGAGTAAGAGTAAAGTAAAGCTTCACCTTAAGCATATCAAGAAAAAAAACCAGACCCGTAAAATCCCCCATTTATTACAACCCTTTCCAGAATAAAAAAAAATCTCAATTTATTGGACGTGCCGCCCGGCAAATACGTGCCACACCAACCATCGCTTCCATTCATGACTTCTTTCACCCAACAACCGCAAACACTTTCCACTTTCGCATTCCAACGGGCCTCCACGGCAAGGCTGCTTTCCGGACGGACGTGATACTCTAGAACACGTTGTCACTGCGGGATTCTAAAGCGAATTACAGTCCCCCTTCCAACCCTCTTTCGCTTCATTTGCTTTCAAACTACCAACGAAAATACAGCTGTTTGCGCAATCATTTCTGTCATTTAGGATTATTCCCTGAGCTTTTTTGCTCAGATCCATCGGAAACTTTCAAAACGTATCATGTAGGGAGGATAAAAGTCCTATTGACGTTATAACGTCACACATACATAAAAGTTGTGCATCCTTCTGCTGCGCTAACTTGCACTTCCTCGTGACTTCGTTTATCAATATCAGCACCACACCTCGGTGCTGCTGCACAAAAGTTTGTTCGTGTGGGATGAACGGAAAATTTCCCGAAACTCAGATCCTAACAAGCCACCTCCCAAAAAAAAAAGCCCTGAAGAACACCCGCCAACTTTCCTAGCCAAACAACGCAAAAGTGGCACGAACGATGCCAGATAACGAGAAAGTATCGAACAAAAGTTTATTGAGGCATATTTACATTCAACTAACGCCAACTTTAGCGAGCGAGCGAACGATGGAAAATTCATTGTTATACAGCTACTGCTGCAATCCAACCGTTCTAGGAAGCGGGGCGACATGGAAGAACGGAACTAGAACATCAGGTAGTGCGATGAAGCCTTCTGCTACTACTGCTAGCAGTTTGGGGGTAAAGTGGGAAAAGACATTCTCATAGTTACGGAAACTTGTTGAATTTAATGAAAAACAGAAGAAAACAAGATAAAACTGTTTAATTCAGATGTAAGAAGAGGTGTTGGGTGTAGGCTTCCTGAGAATGTCGGAAAAACCTACCCCAAGAGGTTACAGGCAAAGAGGAGGAAAGCGGCGACAACAACGATAACGCTTGAATAGTAGATGACTACATAACAATGTTGCTCGCTTGTATGTAAGTCGACACAATCTCGGTTTGAAAGTTGGCAAGGTTGTTCGATGTCAATTCCATTTAGCGATACTCAACTCGCGGTTGTGCTGAATTTGAAAGCGGAGATAACTTTAGCATGGATACGGCGAAGTAATTTGAGTGACCTCCCTTCTTCCTTCGAACGCGACGGAGATATAATGAAGGGTGTCGTATTCCGTCGGATATGTTGCGTTTGACGGTGTGACGAAAGTGTGCGCTGGAATGTATAATGTTTCATTGAAAAATACGATAACTAATGAGGGGTAAGAGATCTCCCGATAGCCTAGTCAGTAAAGGCTGTGATGACTGGACTGGGAATCAAATTCTCTGCGCTAGTCGTGAAACAAATTAATTCAAAGCTTCTATGTTCACTAAGTCTTCGGACAAATTTCACATGAATAAGGGAACGAGATTTAGTGACAAATTTCAACAGCTTCTTATCTTTATCTAACTCATTTTACAATCTTGTAGACTTAACTAACTGTTACACTATTGCAGTGTGTTGCTAGCGAACAGCTATAGTGAAAATCATCAATCAAGAATCCCTTCATGCTGGGCTGCTGATAATTGAAATAAATTCGAATTCAGTACACGTCTAGCAACAATAACAAACAATACTCACATGAACCTTCACAATCGAAACCAGGTCAAGAGAGATTATCCTGAAAATAGAAAAGGGAAAGTGTTATTGGCAATGTCCGGCAGTCGTAAGCTGATAAAATAATTAATGTCATTCGATTTATTGATATAGAACCATAGTCCAACCGAAACGATCCGCAATTCATAAAAAAAATAAACGAACAATAACTGGTGTATTACATCGGAACCGTTTTGCACCAATAAGGTTCTCCTCCGTCGTCGACAAGAGCCGATAGAGAGTTTTACTTCGCTTTGCAAAACGACAGCCGAACAATGAAGAAATCGAGAAATGATGTCAACCGTAAATTATTGCAATTTGATACAGAGCGACGGCGTTTCAGCTTCCACATCACCCGACAAATGGTAGCTACCGATATGGAATCCCATCGACGTCGTCGTCGTCGTCATCATCAGACAACGACTTTGACGTTCCACCGTTGTGGTCGGTGAGGGATCATTCGCAACATAAAACAAAAAATGCACCCTCATTTCTCCTGCCGTCTGTTCATTGTCTCGGATGCTACTTTCCGGCAGAATGGCATTTATCTGGCGACCGTTAGACCGCGTCCTTCGCTTCGCGCTCGTCGCTCATATTTGGGACGACCGACACAATGTGCACCTAATTTCGCTAAAATGTTTTTATCTGTCTCCCGGTTCCATTACATGCTCTTTTCTGACTCTTGTTGTTCGCCCCGATGTTGTTGTTGTTGCGCCACCGTATGCATACACTCACACACTTTTAAATGGTTGTTTACAAGAATGCCCCCCCCTCATGCGTCTCTCCCCAGCGGCTCAGGGGCAACCCACTATATTGGATCAATTTGTTTTTGAAATTAGTTGACTACACAACTCAATTTGCCAGCGGACGTGTTGAACAACAACCGGAGGGCTTAAGGCTATTCGTGGTGGGAGATGGATGCAATCCCTCTGGTCTCTTCCGCGCCATCCGCTCGCTGGCCGCACCGTGAAAAGCTCGCACACGTGTAGTGTGAATTATTCATGTCTGGTCAAGGAGCGTTTTTGCGCTCGAAGAAGCAGCAGTGTTGTCATGGGGTCGAGTTGTGTTCGGTTTGGGCTGGGTCGGTTCCGATGGACGGATGTGGATTCCAAGGATTCGCTCTTACATTGCTTGCTGGGTAGGTCGGTTGGATGCGGCTTGTTGGGTTTCCGATTATGGCATGTATAATTGGTGGAAATTTTGGGTGAACTCCGTGGTACTTGTACTCGGATATAACCAGGGGTGCTTGGTGAGAGATGGTTGATAGATGCTATGCATTCAGCAGGCGAAGGTCGGAGGTTCTTATCACTTGCTTGGTTTTGAAATGAAAAAAAGGCGGATTTTAATGCAGAAGACAATAGACACCAAAGCAACGCTATATACACCGATTTCGCTTATTTTTTTTATTCAAAACTGCATGCAACCTTACATTTCCCGAGTCTTCATATTTCAAAACAAAAAAATTTCTTGGCGTTTCCTCACAGATGTTACATACTTGTTTTATCACTTGGTAAATCCATTGGCGTAATTAATGAAAAATCCGAGGGGACTAATTTTTTTTTAAGCAAACAATTTTGATGTGTAAGGAAAATAAGTAATAGTAGTAACAATTCTAGAGGGAGCGACAAAACCCAAAAAGTTGTTTCTCCCAAATCAGAATTTTTCTATACTATTCAATCAATCAAGATAGGTTACCGAAATCAATTCTGGGGTCATTTTAATTTTGATTTTTTTAACATGGTGATATAATGTACAATGCATGAAAAACTATTTTTTACTATTTTTGAAGGCAGACTCAAACTGATCCAATATTTTTCCAATCAAAAAGTTTTGTTTTGTTTTTGTTTATTCTGATTCGGTTTCCCGGGAAATTGCTATTTGTATAGAAAAGCCATGCTAAATAAGGTCTGTATCCACAATAATTTGGACACATAAAAACTTAAGTAGAACACAAATTTTATTTTATATCTCAATTGTAGTTGTGTATTTCAGATTCATGGGATATTATTTAAAAATTCACGAAGTCAAAACATATTTATTCGGTATTTGCATAAAATTGTCGGACTTTGCGCTTAACTCCATCTATTGGGGTTTGTACAGACTCCTCAGATACCGGTGGCCGTCTTTGTCCAAATTTGTTGGAAGTGTTTGATATCTTTGATTCCTTGTTTCTTTCCAGAAAGCTTCCGCTTCATCAGAGCCCAATATCACTCGGAATTGCGGTTTGGTTTGGTACAATATTCACTTGATTTGCTTCGTACCATTCCCTCACAGTTTTAGCATAATGACATGATGCCTAAACGGGCCAGAACAAAGGGTTTTCTTTGTGGCTTTTGATGAAAGGTAGAAATCGCTTCTGCATACACTCTTTCTGGTAAATCTCCTTGTGCCCCGTAACGTGGGTAGATCACCTTTTCGTGGTACGTTACGGGATGTAAGATCTACCACCGATTCCTAGTCTTGACTACTTCAAACTAGGGGAACAGGATTTTTCAGTAATCAAAGGAACACATCTTAGTCCTTGTTATTTTTTATGCCTTGTTGACAACGAATCCAAACACATAAAGCAACCAACGATACAGACAAAACGGTTGCTACGACTACCATGACAAATTCGCTCTGTAACATAGCTCGATCCGAGTGATAGAAGGATAATGATATATTCGGATGAGGACATAGCTTGATATGATTGATATGAATCGAGAAAAGACATAACAAAAAAATTCCCATGAACACACGTGTATCATGTTCGGCTTTACTTCGTGAAGCGGCTTGCCAACAATTTGCTCGTTTCCTTCTACCGCCCCGAGTGAGTTGTGTCGCACGGGCTGCTTGTCATGAAAAAGAAGGAAGAAGATTATATCATTATTGTTGCTTTGCACTTCTGACATAGCGTTATTATTCGGTTCGTTGATCGCTTGTCATTTTGTCATTTTGGAGATATTTTTGATTCCTTGCTTGTTGATAGTGATAAGTCCTCGGGATGCCTGGACCGAGGATGATCTTGAAACAAGGAAAAATGAGTTAGCCATCACCTATGAGATTCCTAATCTTCTATTCGTTGTTTCCTAGTTTGAAGTGGTTAAGACTAGGGTTCTGATGCATGGTCATTTTCGGTGTCATTACTTGTTTTTGTTGCTAAGGAATCCAATTTTGATTGACAAAGGGGCGCGCCTTTGGATGGTCTTCCAACACTCCGAAGGGTATAAATAGCGGGACCTTTCAATTATAATCGATTCCTTGCGATGAAGGCAAGAATGACAACTGTATCAAAACCGAATACTTCATTATTTCTCAATAGTGATGGAGTAATACGACATGCACTAAACTAAGGACAGAGAAAAAACAAATCTCCTTGTGGATTGTACCTGTAGTGACGAAAGATTTACTCTTACGGCCACACGTGCACGGTATTTTTTTGGGAAATTTCGATGCCTTATCGTCCTGAAATACTCCGCTGTAGCATTTTTGGACATAGCAGAATATAAACCCAGCCATGAACGCTGCTTGAAATCCTCCAGGACATAAGTTTCATCGTCCATAACAACGCATGAAATGTAAAATATACGCAGTAAAAAACGTCGAGCCCGTAATTTTATGAACACTAAACATGGAATGTAAACACATATCATAGTCTTTTTCATCAATGACTCCCAGCTTTGAATTTTTCACTCCTACGCGTAATATTTAAAAAATTACAGTGATTTAAATGTGTCCGAATTAATGTGGATATAGACCTAATAAACATCCACTAAAAAACGCATCACCCAGGAAATTAAGTATGAATAGAGTTCCAGGAAAAGACGGACCGAGAGAAATCGTAAAGACTTCCGAAGGAAACCATAACACAATTTCAGCGGGAAGATGAATATTCTTTTTGAGGGTGTCGGGAGGAAGTTCCCTGGGAAATTGAAGGAAACTTTCGACAGATGCCGGAACAAAAAAAAAACTTCTGAGAAAAGTCGGAAATCACTTCCAGGGCAAACCAGAAAGACTTGTTAAGGAATTTTGAAGACAGTTTCTGGCGAAGTCGCAAACATCTTCTGAGAGATGTGGAAAGAAACTTCCGGAAGTAGCCAGACCTCCAGTCGGAAAGTCGGAAGCCATGTATATTCGATATATAAACATTAACATAGGGGAAATGTCGGCTTCGGCAATACCCCTTAACCTATTATCTTCAGGGGGTAAACATAGTCCTAGAGTACTCAAATTTGGCCAATAGTTGCTCTGAAACATAATGTATCCACATGTCAAAATTGAGCTCTCAAGGACGTTGTTTACCCCCTGACGATAATAGGTTAATGTATTGCCGAAGCCAACTTTTCCCCTACTGGTTACTTTAAATCTCTATAATACAGAATAACAAAATACTGATTACTCATTTTAATAATTATTGAAAATTAAAATGTGTTATCATTTTAATAATCTTCATATAACATTTAGATCTCATTTTTGATCTGATAGCCATTAACTCGACAAGACAACAAGTTTGTCAAATTATGTTATCATGAACGATTTTATCAAAATAAGTTTTAACTTTGTTTTCATGTTCTGCTCGGGTACCTCATCGGCCTAATATCATTGGGCCCTAATGGCGTTTCGCCTAGTGGCATTTCTACCCATTATCTGGAAACTTGGTTACGCTCTTGATTGCATTCATTAGATTTAAAAACACTTAAAGCCCGCATCTTATTGCTATACGCATCAAAATGAATGTTTTCTAAAGTTCTACAGGATGGTTAAAACCACTTGAATAAGCCAAACTGCCAAACTTGCTAGTTTTCCCTGAATGCATAACCATATTATTTCGTGCTAAATCATTTTGGTAATTGAATCATTGAGTCCTATGTAATCCCAAGTGTAGGGGTGGTCGGCAAAACCATTCGCCCAATCAACGACAAACGTTCGAATAGCCTCCATATGCTGACCGGGCCCTTTTTCTACTTTGCCACTCTAGGTTCCCATCAAAAAGGCGCCCAATATGCAACAGAACGCAATCAACTCGAAAACCATAATCGGCTCCGA